CACAGACCTGGATTCTGTGCGGGGTCTTTCTGGCACTGTGGTTTTTATCCAGCACAAGGCAGCCCTGCCTTGTATGTCCCTTCTGTGCAGTGTTGCTGGGACTACCCAGCTGATGCTATTTCTACAAAGTTACCGCTTGGATAAGAGCGATTTTAACACCGATCTTGCAGATGCTTCCAAAACTCAGCACAGACCCATGTGCAGAGTGTGGATGTCTTAGCTCTGGCTGAGTCGTGACTGTATTTGCCTTAGGCAGAAGCTGTTTCTGCTTGTCTTGCTTGGACTATTCTGAGAGATGCCCTTATTTGTGTTCTGCTTCCCCATTGACAGAGCAGATAAAGAGGACACGGAGACAGAACTCGGGTTGTGTTTAGTCTTTTCTCTGAATGGCTGGAAGGTACTTGAGCCATTTTAAATTCACAGGTAGCAGCAGAGCAGTGAAAACTTAACCTGACCCAAAGAGAAGTCTGGCCTTTCCATCAGCTTCCAGGAAATTGTCCAGATTCTTGGATTGTGTCACATTTGTCTGTGATTTGGTGATCAGCCAGTCTAAATGTTAGGTAGCATTAGTCTCCAGATTATAGTATGTGCTTGAGCCCAAGTAAACATCTCTAGATACCAAGTGCTCAGCTGAGTTTCCACGGCTGCTGGTGCCCAAAGCAACTGTTACACAGCATTGTCAAGGGCGTAGTACTGTCCATGATTTCATAGAGAGGACAATGATAGGTCACCGGAAACTTCCCTGCACCTTCTGGGGCTCATGTTCATCTGGGTTTCCCAGGCAACAATCCTTAACCCTGGTGTATTGGCCCCTGTGAGTTCCCTGCAATCTACCATCAACCTATCCCATTTCTGGATGGCCCTGGGCTCCACTCCTGGGTTGTGTCAGGGGCAAAATTCCACAAGGACTATTCCACCTATACAGGTATGACAGCAGACACTCTTACATCACAACACCGGGCACAATGAACCTACTGTGAAGCCTCTTGATGGCTGGTGATTGTGAAGAACCTACATCTATGCTGTCTCCATGAAAAGATGACTGAGAGTTGACTCCTAGGGAATATGAAACAACAATTCCATGCGACCCCTTTGAGCAAGGTAAGGAGGGGAAAGTTTCAAGCTCCATTGAAGGAAAGGGGTTCAAAAGGACCCTACTCTGGAAACGGTTCCAAACAAGGCAGACACCTGCCGTAATGCCTAGCTCAGGAACAGTACCTAAACGAAGCTACAATCACCGAGTCCAACTGTGGCCTCTCCATGAGGGACCCCAAGCCACCAGCCGCTTTGGCTGTTGCACAAGATCAAAGCAGGACACTCAGTTGAACTTCCATAGAAAAGCCAGACCTTTTGAAAGACAACCACACAACCACTGGGGTTATGTGTAAGGGCAGAAGTAAAGACACTCCAATTCAAGAGCAGCCGGAAACAAAAACATCCAAGCACATGGGGCGCTCTATTGCCAAGAAATCTGGTCAGGAAATTCAACATCTGACGGAAATCAGTCTCAACAAAGTGGAAGTAAAGCGACTATGAAATAAGGATGTTTAAGATCCTTCAAGAGACTTTTATAAGCAGATAGATAGCATCAATAAAACCAAACTGCATGTTATAAAACCAAAATAGCCAAGAACAGAATGAGCGGATACAAAGAATATCAACACCGAGAAACCCAGAATTAGGACAAAGTATGACCACCACTGTGGCTTAGGGAGGTCTGTGCATGCCCTGTGGATCCACTGTGACTACAGGCTTGGCTCCCTACCGAGAGGTGCCTGGTAGGAGGTCTTCGGCTCCTGTGTTCTCAGCAGCCAGTCCTCGTGCTGCCCCCTGAGTTGCCAAAGCCTGAGCTGCTCCCACCTCCCTCTCTGCTCCAGGCTCAGGCTCCCACACCACTCCCCATGCCACAAGGCGAGAAGTGGCTATCCCCAGTCCTGCACCATGCAGCTTGAACTCAAACTCTAACTTCAAGCTAAATGCACCTCTCTTCAGGAGTGACCTATGCTGGCTATTTTGTTGGAAGGTCAAACGCTGAGTGATTTGGCCATCTGCTAACAAACTCTTCAGACAAGTAGTGATCGCCTCGCCTACATCCTGGTGGGTGGCTTCTCTTGAATGTAAGACAACCCCAGCTCTGCCATGGGCATATGCTCCAGCAGGGGCGATAACCAGTGAACAGAGAAGGCTGCGCAATGTGACTACAAGGTCTGTAATTTTCCCCGGGTGCCATGGTAACACTTAAGGAGGGTGACGGAGGTAGCCTGCTTGGGTGGTGTACCAAGAGGTGACAAAGCCATGCATCCTGTGGAAGATGATTCCAGGCTGACAGGAGAACCTTATTCAGATTAACCAGTTCTATGGAAAACAATGACAATGTAAACATTATTTACTGGTACAAATTTAGATGCTCCATTTAAGCTGAAAACAGACTGGCACCATTTACATTCTGCTTTTCACCTAGGACTCAGAAGTCCTGGCTAATACAATTAGAAAATGCACTAAGAATGAAATGAATCCAGTGTAGAGAAGGCAAAAAGAAAATTTTATCTGCAAGTAACATTACCACCTATGCAAATGAAGCAAGTCTCTCAAAGTAACAGAATTACTATAGTCTGTCAGACCACGGTCTGTACATGAAATAAAGCACAATGGATATTTTAATGCATCAGCACTAACAAGAAAAAGGTGATTTCAAAACTAGGTATATAAGAAAAAAGCACTAGGCATTTAAGAAGTCTGATGGAAATCCGTATTCTACAAAGAAAAACTATCTTTGCAGGATACAAAAGTTAGCCAAGACAGGGTATGGGGTGGGGAGTAAATACAGATCATTTCACTAAATGTAAAGACCCAACACTGATAATACATCTCTGGAATTAAACAAAACTGATATTACTTATCTGAAATATGGAGAAACAGAAAGAGAGAGCTGTCCATCAACAGCTGGGAGCAAGGTTGAAGCCAGCATCAAGCATTTAACCCAGGTCTCCCACATGTGTGATATGATCCCAAGAACTTGGGTTGTCATGTTATACTTTGCAGTATCGGTTTATTAATTCATCACTTTCACTTTCAAAGCAATGGTTCAGAAATTCAACATAAATTAAGATCAAAATGGACTTTCATTGGCAAAGACAAACTGCTTCTGTAAGCAAACAAAACCATGAGCAGAAGACAGAAAGGAACAAGCAGAGGATACATGACCCCTCAGACAGCAAGGCTTCCTACACGGCTGTGTCATGGAAAGAGGTGTGTCAGTGCCAGGAGCAGCTCCCAGGCTGGCACCATACAGGCTGGCACCGTGGAGCAGCCACTGATGGTACTGCTTAGGTTAACTGTGTCATGACAGCAGGAGGGGACTTGGACTCCTGTGCACTGCAGATACTTGGGAAGTCAGGAGCTTGGGTAAAGAAGAAAGCAAGGAACTGGCCACAGCCTCCGAGCTCCTGCCCATTCCCCTATTAGCCTGGAGGGGACAGTGGTGAATGAAGGGAGAAGCCACAGCTTACATAATGCAGTTTTGGTTTGTTGTTGCTGCTGTGTTGCTGTTTTAGTTTATTTATTTATCTTGTTATTCCATGATACAGCTCCATAGGCTCTATGAAGTCACATGTCCACTTGCTGATGGACCCTACAGGAAAACACCTTGAGACCCAGCTGAAATGCTTCTCAGCTGTTAACATAAAACATTCTGTTCCTGGGCAGGCTGAGTGCACAAGCCTTCTGTATGTCCCCATCTGTCCCTCACGCTCCCCCTTGGTCTCCCAATTCCCCCCTGCTCATCTCACTGTGGTGCTTCTCCCTTGTTCCCCCCGCCCCTGCTCCCCTGCTCATCTCACTGTAGTGCTTCTCCCTTGCTCATTTCTTCACCCTGCTCCACTCTCACCTCTGGGACTTGATGTCCTCACCAACCCTGTCGCTGGCCCCCTGGCTGCCCAATGCATGCTATCCATGGACAGTCACACTAACCCAATGCTTCCATGACAAGCTCTATGCTAAGAGCCCAGTAATGCTTATCTCTAGTCCATACCTGTGTCCAAGACAGCAAACCACTCAGCAAGCTGTCACACAAGCAGGTTATGAGAAATCACTCACACAGCAGTACCAAGGGAGAAAGACCTGTTCATCAGGCACATGTCCCACAGGCAGCATTTTCTAAGCAGCAGCCTCACTGGATACAACGGAAAGCAATGCTGGTTCTGCAGGGATGTGAAAGAATGCTCACAATGCGATGTGAGCAGGTGAATGGAAATCAGTGTCACCCAGAGTCTAACAGCAGGAAGATTCTCATAACTGAACTCAAACTCATGGGTCACAACCAGTGTTAGAGGACAGAGGGACAGGGTAAGGTTCTGAGCCCAGAATTTTTGAAAACAGGAAAATTAGTTGGTGACTGGGAAACGAGAGAACAGTTATAAATCCTGCAGTGCAAGACATAAGCAAAGCTCAGCCCTGCAAAGCAGCGACGTGTCAGAGCTCTGACTGCCAGAAGGAGTGAGTCCTGCGTACCGAGGCACCTCCAAGGTGGTCACCCAAAGACTGCTCTCTGGACCTGGCTCAGTCCATCTTAATGCGAACAGGAGGTATAAGATTTAGGGTTCTGTTCCAGAGCATTCTATGGACTCTAGCAGAACACACACCTTGAGGCTCCAGAGTCTATTAATCATGGGCTGCATATTTCAAGGTTGCGTGGGGTATTATTAAAAATGTTTTCAATAAAACCAAATCAAATGAAGTACAGCTGAACAGGGACTGGGACACACTGCGAACGTGGCTTAATCTTTCCGCAGTGTATACACATATCTAACTGCACTGTATTCTGGAAATATACACAAATTACTTTTGCCAATTATAGTAAAGTTAAAAATGTATACTTGCCTGAAGAAAGTTTTTTCCCAAGTTACAGGTCTCCCATTTACAGTTCAGGGCCAAAGTAACAGAATAAATCATGTCACGAATCACACGATAGAAAACAATGTTTGAGAGTATCAGCTCCTTACCTGGTCCCAGGGAGAGACGGTGCCACCAAAGCACATGAACAGGAACCCCATGGCCACGAGGCAGATCCAGATCACCAGGGAGAAGAGCCTCAGCAGCTTCTTAAACACAGCCTCCACACACACCAGGATGAAAACGGCAAAGAAAATGGCCAGAGCCGTGGGCACTGTGATTAAAAATGCGACATGGTCTTCCACTTCCTGTGGAAAGGGAAGAAAACATCAAGAAGTTACCACTGTGAGAGCAATGCCGTGGCCCATTACAATGTCATCAGCACTCACCAATACCAAAATGCCTTGGGATTAAAAAAGTATATCAAAAGTCAAATAGTTTCAACTTTCAAAAATGCACATTTTATACTAAATGATCATGATTTTTTCCGATATAGCTAAATCATAACTGATTAAAAGAGGCAAATCGGTCTACCATCATATTTATATTTTCCTTAATCAATGCAGATTTTTTTTTGTTCAGAGGTGAATTCAAGCAAAGCAGAGCTGGAGAACCCAGTCACCCAAGCAGAAGGCAAGGCAGCCATCTTCACAGGCTCTAACAGGGCATCCTAAGAACACTGGTTGAGGAAATCAAGTCCTTTTCATGAATTTGAAACAGTTCGTGAAACATTTGTGATTTCAACTATTTCAGCCTCTGATGTGATGAGAGCTTTAACTTCAATGCATGGTCATTAATATTTTAGCAGAATCAAAGGTTAATAGAAAAGGGTCAGGAAACACGAAGTACAGAAGGTGAAGGGGCAGGAAGTGCTTACAAGAGTATGCCACATTTGCTTCTGCCCCACCCCCACCTCTTCTGGGCTCCAGCAACAAAAACAGAACGAGCATGTGTGTTCAGTCTCCTACTAATGCATTTTGCTGAATTTGTTTTACATGCTATTTCTCTTTCTAGCCACAAACAAGGTCTCCATTTTCAGTTTGCACAATTTCAGCACCATGCAACGGACAGCACTCTGCCTTGATCACAGAAGCACGCTTGAGGGCGGGTTGGCAACTGCAGCAGTTGTAACCTACTCTCATCCCATCAACAGATCATCAGGGTTCAAGCATCAATTCCAGATTCCTGCAAATGTGTGCCCTGAAAAGCAACAGATGATGACTCAAAAACTTGGGAGATGTGAGCTCAATTTAGGCTCCTGGCTTCAGTGTTGTCTGTCTCTGTTACAGGCATTTGAAGAGTAAAACAGGATAGACAATGTGTAATCTGACTACCCATATTTCAAATAATATGGGGTGATGGAATGGGAGAAATGTGGACCAAGTTTGTAGCTTCTGCAATGTTCTGTGCTGGACACTTGCTATCAGCATGATGGGATGGATCAAAGTGTGAGGTCTTTATTACTCATTTATTTAAGGAGTACCCCTGTGTAATTACTGAAATATCTACAGAAGCTCAATTCTGTCCAGGACTCCAAAACCTCCCACTGGCATTTCAAAATAAATCTGGGACACAGTAAGCAGCTTTATCCAAATACTAGAAAACAGTTATCCCTAACCTTTACTGCTGAGTCCAGGGTCCACTTCGTCCTCTCATCAGCTCTGATCTCATGCCAGAGGCCGTTTCATACAATAACCAAGGAATGAAATATAAGGGGAGATGAGGAAGAAGGGAAAGCAGAACAGATCCACCTGCAGCGCACTGGAATCATATGCATGACTCCAACGGAAAGAGAAGCAGTCCCCGAGACAGAATGGTTGCCCCGATGCAGCCCTTCCAACAGCCAGGGAGCAAAGTGGTCAACCCTAGGAGCTTTTCCCACAATGTTGCTTTGGAAAGACTGATTCAGGGTAGGCATTCGGCATAGCAGTGAAGACCCTGCTTGGCACCCATACCCCAGCCTACAGCAGAGCGCCTGGATTCAAGTCCCTGCTCTGCACACCATTCCAGCTTCCTGTTCAGGCACACACTGGGAGGCAGCAGTGATGGTGCGTGCATGGGAAGCCTGGCTAACTTCCCAGCTCCTGGCTTTGATTTGGCCCAGTTCTGCTGTTGGCAGGCATTTGGGGAATACAGCAGAGGATGGGAACTCTCTCACACACTCAAATAAATCACATGAACATACTTTTAAAAGTTAAATAAAAAGATGGGTCTATAACAATACTAAGGCTCAGTGTATCATCTTGCTGGTTACAGCAAAGAAAACATGAGATTGCTTTGGGTTCTAAACAGTGGAGTGTTATTCAATTCTAAGACCAGATCACTAAGAAGTAACCATCCTGGGCTGCAGGTGGTGTCTCCCATAGTCACAGTGGGTACAGTGCCTGGGTTCTACAATCCACCTTGGGAATCATAAAGATGCTTTAATTTCTTTTAAAATGAGAACAAAGCAAAGCTTTTAGGGTCAAAGATAATATGCCTTTATAGTAATATAATTGCAAACTGTGATACAATGGCCCTAAAATGTGACCCCAGTTGGCTGGCAGTGCATCCTCACTCATTAAGTGGGCTTCTGCCATTCTCTAGCAGATTCTACACAATCTAGTGCAGAGTCCAACAGGACACCCGGGCTCAAGGTCAGCCTGATTCCAAGAAGACTAACAGTGTCAGGCAGCCAGTTGTACCTCACCTGGACCCATTTCTACTTGGGAAGCGAGGACTCGAAGAAAGAATAACCTCGACTGAGTCTGCAGTGGCCTCTGTACAAGTTCAATATCTCCACCAATGAGAATCTGCTGTAAGAGCTTAAAGAAGAAAACCAAAGTACTCAGCAAAGATCTGGTGAGGTTGGAAACCACTTCCCTCCCTGGCATCCCTGTCAGCATCGGCACATTTCCAAGACTCAGTAAACGACAAGGGAAACGCAAGAACCCAGGGTCACACCATTCTCCTTGCCCAGAGCCCGAGATTCCATGGCCCTACTCCTTCTCCACGTCCCACAGTGCATCAAGCCATAAAAGCACACCAATGCTGGTTTACTTCTAAGTGGTCTTCAAACCTCAGAGAATCAATTGGAGTAGCTTAACATAAGCAAGTTAAACACCAAAACACATTGCCAACGTAAACTATTTTAATACATTCTAAATCCACTTCCTTAGTGGGAAAAAAAATACCAACCAGAAAAAAAAAGTACTGAAGTGCCCTTTCTGGTACTCAAATGCCTTTAAAAGGATTTTTTAAAAGTATGTAATGCATAATCAATTAATGTACTAAAATGCTTTTAAAGCAGATTTTCCGCATTGTCTCAGCCACCGCAATGGGTTCTATTGCTCTCCTTAGCCCTTTCACCGTTCCAATTTTCAGGCATTTTTCTGGTAATTCTGCATGCCTTCTAATTGCTTTGCCTATTAAATATCCATCATTTTTATCTATGGCGTGACAACTCCTTTGTTTTTAAAAACTCCTTCCACGAAACAGCAGTTTCTATTTTCCTTCTTCTCCACATGCATTTTGGATCTTGCTAAAAGCTCCTAGTTTCCATCTACGTGGTAAAGAACACACAGCACTTTGCTATTTAATACAAATATTTTCACAAAGTACATTGAGGCCAGACTAAGTAGACATTGCTATCACTTCTTGTTGTGTAACTGAAGAGTCCTAAGGTGACTTCCTTGGGTTCCATATGGCACAGGTGTACCCCAAGAGATAGTGTATTGGGAAAAACAAATTCATCGTTAGCTAGGACATACACCTGAAACAGACGTTTGTGTAGAGATCCATATTTTTCATGCCTAAATATAAAGGAAAGATGTTTCATTCCTATCCATAAATCTCTTCATATCTTATTTTATGGTGAATAAAACGAATATAGAAGTAATTATGATAAATTTTAAAGATGTATAAATGTAACACAGTAGCCTTGAAGTGCATAAAGAAAAAAATTCAGGCAGAGGGAAAAGCAAAGTAGTGGACCAGGAGAACCCAGCACCCCTTGCAGCTCCAGAGCAGGCAGTGACATGTGAGCATCCTAACGGGCAAGCCTGGCCCAATCCCACTGCTCACCAGCACAACAGAGTCTGCCCGAGTACACAACAAATATCTATACAAAGCACATCTTGGCCACTTGGACAAAAGTCCAAAGAGACACATGCTTAAATTACATAAGAACAAGAAAACAAAAACATAAAATTAAAAATGACCATATACCATATGACAGGCAGTACAATTTTTAAGATGTTTTTACTAAAAAAAAAAAAAAGGCAGGAAGCTAAAAAGAATAATGAAAACAGGCTTCATCAACACTTGTGGATGCAGAGTTCTGACACTGATTTTGCCAGAAGTAACACTTTCCAGAATCCTTTCTTCCCACAGTGCTTGGTTAGATTTGAACAAAAGAAGAGTCCGTACTGGATATGGGAGGCTTCCTGGTCCAGGACGTGATCTCTGTGCTCAGCCTCCCCTTCTCCACGGTCCACCCTCTCTCCAGGTCAAGTATGCCGAACTGAGCTCCCCAGCCTCAGCTGCCCTTAGTCTGACCAGTCAGGCTTGTCTTTACAGAAACCCCTGAAAACACCCACCTGCCACCCACACCTGCGCTTCAGAGAGACTTCCAAGTGATGGCATTCCCAAACTGCAGCACAGACTGGACCCTGGCCACAACGTAACCTGTGGCTCCCCCACCACGGAGCTTGGTGGGACCTGTTTCATGTTCTTGAAATGTTCAAACAGATGCATGCAATCAGCACAGTTGCTTAAGAAGTCATCTGCAACTCTAGCTTCATGTGGGTACCAGTTCAAATCCCAGCTGCTCCACTTCCAATCCAGCATCCAGTCAATGTGCCTGGAGAGCAGAGGAAGATGGCCCAATCACTTGTACCTTGCTACTCAGGTAGAAGTCCAGGATAAAGCTTCTAGCTCCTGGCTTCAGTCTGGCCCAGCCCCAGACACTGGGACATTGGGGAAGGGAACCGCAGATAAGATATTCATATTCTCATCTCCATTCTTTTTTCTTCCTTGTAAAATAAAACAAAAATTCAGACCTCTGCTGAGATTAATTATAGCATAAAAGAAAGCATGTAGGGGCTTTGCACAGTAGTCTAGTGGCTAAAATCTGCCTGTCACGCACCAGGATTCCATATGGGCACTTGTTCTAATCCTAGTGGTCCCCACTTCCCATCAAACTCCTGGCTCCTGGCTTTGGATCCGGCTATTGGATTCACTTGGGGAGTGAATCAACAGACGAAGATCTTCCTGTCTCTCCTCCTCTCTGCATATCTGAGTTTCCAATAAAAATGTTTAAAATTTTTAA